ATAAAAATGTGATGTATAATTTTGGTCCATCCATTCGTATAGCATATTTATTTCATATATTTGATACATTAATCTATAATATCAATATATATAAATTTATTTATTGTGGGATTCAATCCATAATGAATGTCACTGTTTAAAAGAGAAATAGAAAACTGCAAACCACAACAAAGACATATTTGAATAGAAAAATCAAAATATTTTAGTATGTCAATACTCATGCATCTTGATTGAAGCTATGCAACGTCATAACAATTTAAAGGCTCAATGGAAGCTCTCTTTCTCGACTCATGTCAAAAAAATAGATTGAACCTTTACTCGCATAATTTTTTCTACTTCAAAGGCATCAAATTTGAAACACTTTTTCTTTTAGCCAAAAGGTTTCCGAAATAGGTATATAAAACTTTATTTGCAAAACAGAATAAGTGATCAACTTTAGTTAAGAGTAGTTCTACAAAGAAGGGAAAAAAACTTGTTTTCATCTTCTCTATAGTGCAAAGTTTGCACATCTCGTGATGCTAAATTCTCAGGCTCATTGCACTGCAAAAATTAGTGCATCCAAAAGAATAAGAAAAAGCTTTATACTCAACCAAAGTTTGGTTACCAAACTGTTATATCAAAGAAGTCAATGTTAAATAAAAGTAGCTTCATACTGAAACACAATATTGTGCTTTTTATTAGTAAAATCATGTTATGGCCAAACAAACTCGGCAATATTTATAAAATTGAAATATAAAATAGCTACAATAATTAATTAAAACTTCAAGTACAATATGGATCATCTCTATGAACTGAATGAGGGAAACAAAGAAAAAGAGCATAAAAGATTCATATATTCTTACCATGAAATTTGATCAATAATTAAATTTTGCAATAAAATTAATGTAATTGTCATAACATTTCTACAGTATGAGCTTGGCAAAAAACAACATTTATTCAAGAAACGATATAGAATTGTCTAGAAAGGGAAAATTGTGTAGTCTTGGAGGAGTAGTTCTCTCAATTTTGGAAGAGAACATGTTCCTTTTTAGCAGTGACAACATAAGATATAAAGGGGGTGTAGAGATTTAATAGAATGTAGAGGGGTGTAATTAATTTTCAAACTGATATTATTAATTGAGGGATTACACTTTTCAAAGTGATTTTAATAAGAAGAAACTTTTGGGTTTACAAAATTATGAATATAAGCAGCTAGGCTACGTTTTTTTCACTTTAAAAAAATCACCTTTTAAATGGATGTAGCATATAATTTATGTTGAATTTGTTGTAATTCTTTTCAAATTCTTCAATGGTTTGGAGCAGTAAAACTTCTTTTTCCTAATTTAACTTTTTTTAATCTTTATTTGAATGCACATTTACATCTTTATCCAAAAAAATGTTGGAGTAAATTTTGATTGAAGGATAAAAGTGTCATTTAACTTTATATGGATATTTTTGTAATTCAACTTTTTAACTTGGAGGCTTTCCACCTTTAGTAATTAGTAATTAGTAATATATATTATGATGATATAATATGATAATGATAATTAAATTAAATATACATATAGATTATAGATGATAAATATTATTAAATTAGATATTTTAATTAGGAATTAATCTAAGGAAAATGCAAAAGTCATTCACATTTTATTAAAATGATACATTAATATTAAATTAATAATTAAATGCTTTTATAACATTTTAATTTATAGTAGAGGTAAAATCGTAATTCAACTTTTAACTTTTTTTGTTCCTACTTATAATAATAAATTGATTTCAAGGTTTTTACAAATGATCAACATTATAGGATTGGAGTTCTCGTCTGCTTACTCTTGTAACTAGACTAGATAATATTGGCTCGTAATACTTCTGTGACAAGCGTGTTTCCAAATGATTTTTGGCTGTTGCGTAAAGTGTTATTTGCATAAATTAAGTCACTAAACTAAGTAGAGAGTGCAATTTCGCTTTCCAAGTGATAAGGTTGGCTTTTAAAGGGGCAAGTTGATTCCAGATAATAGGGTCTGGAGCTAAAAGGGTAAAAATTTTTCTTTAAAAAATAAAAATGGCACATAAATTTTTTTTTTAACCAAAAGGGTAAAATCGCTGTCGTCGGGAGCGATTTTAATCTGACAAAGAAATAAAAAAGTAAAATCACTGCTTTGTTTAAGAAATTAAAAAAAAAAGTTTTGAAGTTATATCGCTGCTATAGCAGGGATTTTGTTTAAGAATTTTTTTTTTTTAAAAAATAAAAAATCCTACCTTTGCAAAGAATTTAATAAAATTTTAAAAAAAAATTAAAACTGAAGGCAGCGATTTTCATAAAAAGCTTTTTTTTTTTTAAATCTTTACCCTTTCAGCGATTTTAATGAAAAAAAATAAAATTAAAACAGAGGCAGCGATTTTTTCTTTAAAAAACTTATTTTTTTTTAATTGCTGCCGCCGGAAATTTATGTAATTTAAAACTTGTTCTTTATGTTTTTTTTTTTAATTCCTTAACAAAAAATTGCTGCTTTTCACTTTTAATTTTTTTATTATATAAAGATGCTGCTATAGCAGCGAGTTTAAAGAAATAATGAATTTTTTATTTTTTTTGAGAAAAGGCAGCGATTTTTATTTCTTTTAACGGTCAATTTTTGTCAGAAGAAAATCGCTCCGTTAGGAGCGATTTTCCCCCTTTTGATTAATTTTTTTTTGTATGTGCCGTTTTTATTTTTTGAAGGGAGAAAATAACCCTTTTGGCTTCAGACTCCCAGATAAGATGTTTATTAAAACATATCAAATAAGCATGTGTTGACCAGTAATAGAGGATCGTACTGATATCCTCCGAGCTTTGCAACACAGTCCTTATTTATACTTGTTTAGAATGGCAGTAACTTTTGAACGAAGAAACTTTTCCTTCAACTAATGTTAACTAATCATACATTGAGAATGAAATCTCAAGCAAAAAGATCTCAACATATTTACAGCAAACATCTTTAAGCAAAACAAATACTACTTCTCATTGGAATTACGTTAAAATAAGAAGAGCATCAATAATGAAGCAATATATGTGGTACATATAGGAAAATGACACTAACAACATTGGACTGCAGGAATACAAATTTTTCTGAAGGACACCAAGTGTGAGCCTATATGCTCCAACCTCGATGCACATGTTTATCACATACTTGTGTCTGTGGGTTGCAGCGGAACGCTTGATTGCAGAGGCAGACATCAAGCAATGGTTGACGATGAATAAGGAAACGAGGTACCATCCCGACGATACGATAGACAGGGCAAGCTTAGCATCCGAATTTCCCCCATAACTCAGGGGTAGTTCATATCTTATTTACAAATCTCTTTTGTTATTAATTTCTTGTTATATCACTATATTAGCAATTGTAAATGATCTATACTATCAAATCTTCCAATGAAGTTATTCTAAATGCTTATGGAATTAGTTGAATTGCTAATCTTTTACCTGCGAAGTTTCAGGTACAAAACTCATCACACGAAGCTTGCCTAAAAGGCACAACGGTAATTCTTTTCCCTATGTATTCATACAACCTCCTCAAAACTATGGCTAATCAAAAGCAAAATGTGTCTTTTCCTTCCCTTTACATATATAAATAGCCAAGTTGTGGTGCCTTAACAAAATGTATTCTAATTTAATCCTAATATTAGTCTTTGAACATCAATAAAGATATCGTTAAATACAAAGGTTACTATGTGGACCACCGCTTTGGTAACTGATGACAATTTCTACACTTACATCTACATATTTATTATTTTTAGGAAAACACTTAACTGGCAGAACTCTAATTAGTTGGGGGTTGTGTCTCAACATTGAAGTTTAGTTCGTTTTATTTTTTATTGCGTCTTCTCAAATTCAAACTTCATCACCCCATAAAACTAAATCTAAAACCAAAGCTTTATAAATCGGTTCAGCCAAATGTGATGAAGCTCTGTAGAGGAAAACATGTGTAGGAAAAAAACAAATGCGATGAAGCTCTGAAGAGAACCACTTATCACAAGAAATCAGATCTAAAAAAAAAGAAGAGGAAGAAGAAAAAATTACCTTGAAATTGAAGAGTACTTGAAAAGATTGAAGAGAAATAGCTCTGCCTTTTCCTTTTCAATAGATGAAGATTCGTGGAAAGCAGACATGGAGTCACGCACATAAACCCAAGGACACACAACCACGTGGAGTAAGCAGAAGGTGGGACAACAGGTTGAATTTACCACAATACCCTCAGCTAATAAAAAAAAGATCACAAGCAGACATGTTGATACCTCAAATTATACCCACTCTTCTAATATACGTAGTAGAATTTGCACAAGTAAATTTGATACTAGACCAGTATAATCCTCCACTTTGTTGTAAGTGTAATAATAAACAATTGTCAACATGGTGGATCCGTGACGCAATGGTAGCTCTTCCGCATTGTTGCCAATCATCAGAGTTAATCTAATTGGATATTGCTTAAATTTAGCAAGTTTTAATTTTTCTGTGAATTTTTGATATTTTTATTATTGTTCAAAATAAGTTTCATATTTGCCCTTTTTTATTAATTAAGTTTTATATGTTTTAGGAGATAAATTACATTATTTATCACTTATATTTATAATAATAATAATTTAACAAAAGGACATTAGCAAAAAATATGACGCAAGTTATGTTTTGAATAATTTTCTTAATAGGGGTGTATTGTGCGTCAATTTACTTAACATAGAATAGAGGGAATGTTAAATAACGTGTCAAATCACTTTCTATATTGGTTTAAATTGCTTTTGGTCCCTTATGCTTTAGGAAGAAAATTAAGTGGTTTGGTACAAATTCTTATACTCCAATTCTGAGGTTATTAATTATTTCATCACCTTCAATTTACTGACTTATTTTTTTCTTTTCAATTTACTAAATATAAAAATAAATATTTTTTTGAAAAAATTTAAGAAGTAAAGTAAAAATAGCTAAATTGAAATGGATGGAGTATCATGTACACATCGAAGAAACTCAAGGGAGCAAATGGAAAAGAAAGGAAGATTTGTACTCGACGACCTCAAAAGTCAATTGAGTCGGAAACTTCCGACCAATTGCCGTCTTTTTTCCAAAATCATTCTCACCAATGAATGCCTTAATATCTACAAGACGACCTACTGCAATACTTCACTCGCTTCACCAAGACTTTCCCCAAAATAATCCATTTTGTAGTGTTATGTAGCAATGGCAGCAGCTCTCTTGGGAGGAGCTGCTTTGGGTCCAGTTTTCGACCTACTCCTAAAATCAGTTATTGATGTTGGTATACACATCGCCACTTTCCGTTCCAAATTCCTCAGCTTGAAAGAGACATTAATCTACATCAAACCAGTATTCGATGACATTGAGAGGCTAAGCAAGGTCCTAGACGGCCGAGATGAAGAAATAGACATGTTTAAGAAGCTGTTGATGAAAGGTGAGGAGCTAGTCCTCAAGTGTTCCAAGATTAAACGCTGCGACCCTTTGAAGAAGCGGAGTTACTCCAAGAAACTGACGAAGTTGGATTATTCACTAGTGAAGTTCTGCCAGATACACGGTTTAATTCAGGTGGTTAGGGATACTAAACAGATTCTGGTTAAGGTTAACGAAAATGGCAAGATATTGGAGGAGATTCACTCGATGGTGAGGAATGTTTCATTGACGAGATCCGGGAGTAGTATTGGATTTACAAATTCTAGTGGTTCTTCTGGGTGGATGAATGGTTCTAGTTTTGGGTTTTCTAGGATTGTCTGATGTGCCTCAAGTTTCTGATTCTATGGTTGGATTTGAAGTTCCACTTCATGAATTGAAACAGAAATTGAAGCTGCTTCAGGAGAAGGATAAAGTGCTGGTTCTTTCTGCTCCTCCTGGCTGTGGAAAAAACTACTTTGGCAGCAAAACTTTGTCAAGAGGATGATATCAAAGGTATTGCTTAGTTATTGTTTGCCATGTTAAATGTTAGTATCTTACACTGTTGTTGCTGTTAAATTAGTCCTTTCTACTTTGTAAGATGCGTGCCTTTGTAACTTCAGTTAGCTAATTCGCCTGTTTGTCTTTGAATCACAAGAACTTAAACGCTGCTTGGATTAATTTCCTTTTGACTTTTCCGATTCTTACTATGTCGGTTTATCAGTTGAATTTTGATGCATGTGTTTTAGTTTTATGATTGCATAGGATGATAGGAACCAAAAATACTTCACACGAACATAAGGTTGTGTTTTCTTGTTAGGCAAAGAAAACATAAATTGCGTTCTGGGTTGCTTCATTCACACGAACATAAGGTTGTGTTTTCTTGTTAGGCAACGAAAACATAGATTGTGTTCTGGGTTGCTTCTGATGTGTGTAGAAGAAAGCCCTTCATACTTAAAGACTAGCTTGCTGACCCCATAAAAGGAGAAATATAGTATATTCTTTTTTTGCGATTCCACTTATTGGCTATGCAGATTATTGAAATTATGGCAAGACTAATTGATATTAATGCTGTATCATGTTCTTATGTTATATTAAGCTTCTTGCTGATTTTCAGCATATTTGATCTAATTGTCTCTTTATAGCCATATACAGCGACAACATCTTTTTTGTCACTGTTACCAAAACACCAAACATCAAACGCATTGTTGGGGAAATTTTTGAGAAGAAATGCTACAGGGTCCCAGAGTTCGCTACTGAGCATGATGCAATCTGCCAACTCAATAACTTCCTTGGGAGAATTACTTCTCAACCAATATTACTGGTGCTGGATGATGTTTGGTCTGAATCAGAGTTCGTCATCGATCATCTTAAATTACAGATACCTGATTTTAAGATTTTGGTCACTTCGAGATCTGTGTTCCCAAAATTTGATACATATAAATTAAATCTTTTGAGCGAGGAGGATGCAAAGGATCTCTGCTGCATTTCAGCTTTTAAAGATAGCAGCCCTGATGCCTTGGATGAAAAAGCTCTTTACAGCAGAGAAACAATTACATTAAGAGACTGCTACCTTGATTTAGGATCATTTCCTGAAGATCATAGAATTCATCCTGCTACTCTTTTGGATATGTGGGTGGAACGATACAATATAGATGAAGATGGCATCACTGCAATGGCCATCTTCCTTGAACTTTCTTCACAAAACTTGGTTAATCTCGCCCTTGCAAGGTATAACTGGCTTCAATTTCGTCTTGCAACTGTGTTGTGTTTGCTACTTCATATTATGTGGAACCAAACTCGAAAAATGTTGAGCCGGGAGAAACAAAGAAGCAACAGAGTTAGACGGTCACATGTACACATTTGCTGACTATCTGTTTGTGTGCATCAATATTTAATGTGCTGAAGCCATGAAAATTCTTTTCCACCTTCTAAATTATTTTGGAGAAAATTATTACAGTAAATTTCACGAGATAAGAATAATAGTAACTCATAGAGTTCCACCAGTAGAACATTACAGTGGCTGGCTTCATTTTATCCTGGTTCCACCTTTTTGGTGTATACTCAACTTCTTCTGTGTCTCGGATCGTTGAACTTATCAATTTAGCTGATATCCTTGAATAGATTCCTTCTCGAATATCTGATTTAAACTTAGTTCATGCTGATTCACAGACAGGATGCACGAGCAGTTCTTGGCTTACATAACTTGCATTACATACAGCAGCATGATATGCTGAGAGAACTGGTCATCCACCAGTGTGATGAGAAGCCGGTAGAAGAGAGAATGAGAATATATATCAACATCAAGGGGAATGACTTTCCTGGGTGGTGGTTTGAACAAAGACTTCAACCACTTCAAGCGGAGGTTTTGTCTATTGTCACAGGTTTGTTATCCATCCCTTCTCCTCCTTTTCGGTCAAATATTGAGATGTCTTCTGTAGATTTGCTTCATCTTGTCTCTGCAATTTAATTACCACATCATGAATCCGAATTGCAGATGAAGATTTCTCCTCTAACTGGGATGATGTGCGATTTCCTAAAGTTGAAGTACTTGTGTTGAACTTTGAAACAAGGACCTACAACTTACCCCTTTTTATGGAGCAGATGAGCCAATTGAAGACACTGATTGTGACAAACAATGGTTTCTTCCCAGCCAATTTGAATAACTTTCAGCTTTGTTCTCTGCTGAATCTTAAGAGAATCAACCTGGAACGCATCTCTGTTACATCCATTTTCACAGCCAATCTGCAGCTACCAAATTTGCGCAAAATCTCCCTGAACATTTGTGAAATTGGGGAGGCATTTGAGAACTCTGCTGCCAAGATGCCTTACATGTGGCCAAAACTCGTTGAGATGAATATCGAGTACTGCAGCGATTTAACAAAAGTACCAGCTGAAATATGTGATCTTGTTGATCTTAAAAGGCTCAGCATCTGTTATTGTCACGAACTGGTTGCCCTTCCGGAAGAGCTTGGGAGATTGACAAATTTGGAAATACTAAGGCTTCATTCTTGCACAAATGTGGCTGAGTTGCCTAAGTCTATAGCAAAACTTAATAAATTAAAATTGCTTGATGTATATGATTGTGTGGCTATGGATAACTTGCCATTGGAAGTGGATCAACTCTGTTCTTTACAGACTCTTTGCATGGGAAGTTCCCTGGGTATTGATAAGCTGCCCGATTCTCCGCAAAAACTAGTAAAGTTGGAAGATGTTGTATGTGATGAAGAAACAGCCTATTTATGGGAATACGTTAAGGAACATCTGAAGAATCTGAGAATCACTGTGATGGAGGAACATATCAATTTGAATTTGCTGCATAGATCATAATTTATCTGAGATGCTGCTGGAGCACTCACTATGGTGGAACTTGAATATGGGTGGATAAGGCAAAGCAAACACTGGAATAACTTGCAATTGGGTGGATAGTGCAAAGTAAACACTGGAATAACTTGATCAACAGTGACAAGTGATGGGTGTTTCTTGAGGCGACTTCCGGACTAGAACAAAACGAGCTGAAAGTAGCCAAAGGTGAGGGTTATAATAATTCCATCCAACATTGTTTCCAGTGTATTTGGAAAGATGCAGCTCAAGATTGGTTATTAGAAGCCGTCACTAGAGCTGGAATGCGGAAAAGCTAGTAGCACAAACAGACTGATGTAAGTTTAAACTTTACACTTTGTTTGGATGGTTGTTATCCATTATATTGTATTGTATTTTTATTTTAAATATAATGTTTGTTTTGATTGTTACTGTAAAATAATTATATTGTGTTGTTTAATCCATTGTTAGGCAATAATGAAAATATCGATTAGTGTGATTGCGTCATAAACTAAATATTCTTTTCTTTTTTCGTCTTTACTTATTATTTAATTATTCCATTTTATCCTTACCCTACCTTTTCATAGTAGCTCTACCTGGTATCTTACTTTTCTTATAGGTTCATCATTTAAATCATGGATACGATACAATACATTAGTAGGGCTCAAATATATTGATTTTTATTGAATTTGGATAGGGCTTTGGACCCTGATGTATTCCTACTTATGCATGTAAAACAGATGCTTCTTTGTTGAATGAAAGGAATATAGAATTCATTAGCAAAGAACCTTCCTCGCTGTTTTTGATTGTGTAGTTATAGATTGTTTTCCAAGAGAAATGCAACTTAATATTGAACTGAGTCGGACTTAAATGAAGTGAGAATTCTATTAATCAACCCAAACTTAGTTATGAATTGAGGCTTTTTGCTGTTCTGCTCCTCGAGGATCATTACCTCCAATAATTTCTTGTACCAGCACACCTCATGGTACAACCTAGGGGTGTCAAATGGGTGGGTTGGATTGAAATTGGAGATATTAAAATGGGTTGAAATTGAAATCGGATTGGGACTTGACCCGCCCAAGTTTACTTTGGGCTCAAATGGGTTGAGTTCAAATGGGCTAAAAAACGGGTTGGATCTTAACCCACCCAATTTGACTTAATCTCAATAATTTTAACATAGGGATATTTAACTTTTATAGTCACAATTCGAATTTCAACTCAAGATATTCTTTTTTTTAAAAAGTAACAAATGGATAGATAAATCCTAAAAGATGTTAAATCGATTATAATTCTTACCTTTAATATAGAAACATATCTTAGTAAAGAGTTTTAAAATAAGTTGAAATTGGAGATTGAATTGGGCTCAATTGAAGATTCTCTTAAAATGGATTAGGCTTGAATGGGTTGAGATTGAACTCAATTCAAATTATTTTGAACCAACCCTTAAAATTTTGGGCGGATTGAGCGGGTTACCTATGTTTGGGTTCATTTTTGACACCCCTAATTCAACCTTACGATAAAAGGTGTCTTAAGACTTTCGATGTCACTTGACCATTATAGGGAAAACGCACTTTACTACTAAGGAAATATAAAATCAACCAGAAGGATTAGTTAGAACTATACAGAGGAAATTTTGTGCTAACAAACATAGTCATACACAAGCCCTATTACTATAAGCATCTTAACTTACAAAAAACAGAAAGAGCACATGATTTGTTTGACACAAATGCATAAAAGAAAGTACAAGAGTTACAACACTGTATGACATTATAAAAAGATTATGAACTCAAGTATGGTAACTCCATTACTTTTTCAGCCAATCCCTCCTATGGTGATAGAAGAAATAATTCATGGGCATACTAAAAGCCCCTTCCAAGCCTTGCACACCAACAAGTCCACAAATGTTCTTGTAAGGTTGCGGATACAACTTCCTTTTCACAAGCATGGCATGCACTCACATTGCATATATGATCTCCCCGCTGCTATCAATATCAAGATCAGGCTCTGAATCCAAGTCATCCATGTCATCGTCCATCATTTCCAAGTTATACAAGCCAATTGGTGGTACTGTTGCCTCTGAGATTATTTGCATGATCGTATCAATGCTCTGCATTGGTTGATCGGGTTCTTCAAACTGTTCACTAATCATCTTATCGTCTATTAAGTCCGCTGGAAGATTTTTCAAAACCATACATGATTTCTGATATCAGGCATTGCGATCCTCTGTGCCATGTGCAAAGGAAGATGACTTAAGCATAAGTGACAACTACAATCTATATTATCTTCAAGACTACTATGTAGCATCCTTTTCGCAATATCTCAAAATGTTTCACACCTAAAGAAACTATAAAATTCTGGCTATTGGGCTCTTCTTCCCAGTTTAAGTTCCTATAACTAGTGTATGTATTTCCTACTATTACAAGTACAATACACTAGTCAAATTATATTCTTCAACCTCCTGCCAGTCAAACAGGTCTGTATAAGAAGGAACTTGGAACAACATATTTAAAGAGATGCCTTAAATACAACAATAGGCAAGATTGGTTCAGATCATAATTGAAGTCCCAAAGCAATCACAACAGAAACATTCCAAAACTCCATCTACTCACTTCTGTGTACTAATTACTCTTAAAACCTCACTAACCTGTGCCGGATCTCCAACAAAGATCCTTGAGATTAAGTGGCGACATTCCTCAGATATCTGAATGTTCTCAGGAACAGAATACTGCACGCTTAGTAGACCTTAGAAGGTGCTATGTAGTCCTTCATCCAAACAGGCTGCTTAGTAGTTCTGGAGGTGTGTCTAACAGGGGGTGAAATAATGGGAGTACTATCAGCATGAGAAGTGGAATCAGGAGAAGAATTTCAAGTGTAGTAATAGGGGTTGCAGCAGGAGTAACAACAACAGTGTCAAGATTATTATCAACAGGCAGCAATTCAGTGTCACATTCATCAGCACATTCTTCAAACAAGGCAGAGTCAGGTATCATGGAAACTGATTGATGGACTACTTCATTTGAGTGATGAGCAAAAGGAAAATTATGTCCTTTAAAGACTACATCCCTACTGACAAAAAAAGACTTGGTAGTAATCTCCATTAACAAATAACCCTTCTGAGTCTCAGAATACCCCATCAGGACTGCTGGCTTTGCTCTTTCTGCAAACTTATCACCTTTTGGTATAGAGGAAGCATAACATAGATAACCAATGATTCTCAAATGAATTCGGGATGGAGGCTTAGAATGCAACACTTCATAGGGAGTCTTTCCAGCCACAGCTACAGAAGGCAATCTAATTAGCAAATATACAGCTGCAACCACACATTTTCCCCAGTACTTGATGGGCATTTTGGACTCAAATCTGATTGCTCTAGCTACATTAAGTATATGTCTATGTTTTCTTTCAACTGTTCCATTTGGTTGTGGTGAGTGCACACAACTACTCTGATGTATTATGCCTAGATCTTTGAACAAAACTGAGCATTGAGAATTAAAAAAATTTGTACCATTGTCAGATCGGATAATCTTGACATGTGCATCAAACTGAGCTTTTATCATTATCAGAAAGTTCTTAATTGCCACAATTGTTTCAGATTTAAGCTGGAACAAATGAATCCACGTATACCTACTACAATCATCCACCACGGTAAGAAAATATTGTTTCTTATCAAAGGTAGGAACCTTATAAGGTCCCCACAAATCCATGTGCACAATATCAAAAGGTAAACTAGCTCTAGAAGAACTGATAGGAAAAGACAATCGAGTCTGTTTGGCTAGAGGACACACCGAACAATTTTGCAGCAACTCACTATCACTATCATTCCTCAAGAGATTCAAATGCTTCATGACCTGAACAGAGGGGTGTCCAAGTCGTTTATGCCATAGATTGCAATCCTGAATGGGTAGTGTAGCTGCTAACTTTTGTGTACCAGGAATTGATTTATACTTCTGATTAAATCCATTCTCCTTTCTGTAGATGTATAGACCACCATCTTCTCTACCAATCCCCTTCACCTTGCCACTGTGAAGGTCCTGAAATACACAGAAATCAGGATAAAAGGAAACAATACATGATAATTCCTTGGTGAGTTTGGACACTGATAGCAGATTAAACCTGGATTTGGGTACATACAACACATTTTGTACTACTTCATTTTCAAATACAGGAGCAATCCCAATATGTGAAATGGGAACTGATGTTCCTGTGGGCAAGTTCACCTTATCACCTCTTGTTATGTTAACATTACTCTCTGTCATTAGATGTCTATTAGCTGCTACATGATGAGTGGCACCTGCATCCACTATCCAATCACTTGAAAAAATGCTAGACATTAAGCAGTTAGCATTACCTGTATTATTGCCAGAAGTCTCATGTGTATCCTTATGAAGCAGCCCCAAGATCTGATGGTATTCATCATCAGTAAAGCCATGTCATTTTTGTCATAAAAGCATTATTCACAGCATTGCTGGATGAAGCAGTTTGATCTGGTTCATTAAGCTTCCCTGAGACATTGTTTGCTGAATGAAATGGTTGAGGTCCATTGTGACCAGGTTGACCTCCATTTGTGCCATAAGGGTGACCTCCATTTGTGCCATAATTTTGTGTCCTTCCTCTTTTATTTCCATAGTCATTTCTGTTCTTCTGTTTCCAGTCACTATGATAACCAATCAGCTTGTAGCAATTATCCTTTGTATGGCCAGTAAAATGACAGTAATCGCATTGTACCTTCCTTCCTCTAAATTGTTGATTATTCTGATTATAAGTCGAATTTCTACTAGATTGCATAATCACAGGATCAGGACTTTCAGTGACATTAACTAAGCAAGCAGAGTGTTGGATTTCATCCTCAATTACAATAGCATAAGCCTGATTGATAGTTGGAGTTACACTTTTTAACAGAATTTATCGACGAGCCTAATCGTATGAGTCATTCAAACCACTCAAAAATCGTATCAATCTCAACTGATATAAATGGTCTACATAATCCTTGGATCTAGCACATTCACAGCTTGGAGAAGGAACTACAGCATCATATTCACTCCAGAGGTTTTTCAATTTGCTAAAATAAGTAGAGATGGAATCAGTACCTTGCGATAGAGTAGTAATTTCCCGATGCAATTGATAAATCCTGACTCGATTAACCTTGTCAAAACGTTCCTTCAAATCCTCCCAAACTTTATGAGCACTCGTAGCATAGACTATGCCACCAAGGAGATCCTCAACTACTGTGTTCATCAGCCATGATAGTACGATAGCATTGCAGGTTTCCCACTGTTCCTGCCATTCGTCTTTGCACGATTCCTTTAAACAGACACCTGTTACAAATCCAAATTTCCTTTTTCCTAGAAGAGCAATCCTCATTGACCTGCTCCATATTCCGTAATTATCAGATCCTGTGAGCTTGATGGGGATGATCATTGCACCTGATGTATCAGAAGGTCCTATGTACAAAGGATGAGTATAATCAATTTTTGTAGTTGCCATATCAAACAACAATTCTCAGC